ATAATCAAGCAACTTTGAGTCCATCTTCAGATCCACAGCATCTTTTTTCCATATCTTCCATGTCTCTTTTATAATTTGGCATTTCTTTAAAGCCATTTTAAGGTCTTTATTCAAGTCGACCTCAGCTTCTATTTTATCCAATAAAAACTTTTCTTCTTCTACAACCTCTGTTAGTCCCAATTTTAAAAATAGTTCCTGGACACACTGATTCCAAACAGCTGAATTCAATAAAAACTTTTCTTCTTCTACAACCTCTGTTAGTCCCAATTTTAAAAATAGTTCCTGGACACACTGATTCCAAACAGCTGAATTCTTCTTTGAAAGAAGGATACTCCTCCATTGTGTTAAAAGATACCTTTTCCTTTAATTGTACTCTGGTTCTCTAGTTAACCCTCAAAGCTGAATGTTATCTGGTGTTTTTTTTCAGAAGCAAAACTTTCCCAGGACAGATTTTCTTGCAGTTAAATCCAAAACCACTTACTGTGTTTTGTTAGACATTTAAAACAATCCTTTAAAAAGCAGTTTCAAATCCATTTAGCCTCTTAACTGTCCCCAGTCAGCATTCTTAATTCCCTTTCACTGTTTCCAAACGTTAAAATATATATTTTTTATTTTTAAAGTTACTTTAACCTTCTTTTTCCCAGAATAGAAGGAAATTCTCTCTGTCTACAGCCACTTGCCTTTTAGGAGGTTTTTAATTGCCAAGTAAATCACGAATAGATAGTTTACAATGTTAGTTAAAAGAGGAAGTAAAAGCAAGTCCTTTTGAAGGTTCCGCACTGCGGCTTGGGCTCGATGTTTTTCCATCGACTCCCAGAGTGCTCCACCCACTGGAGATTGCTAGATTGCAATCTCTTCATAGGGAGGCTCTGTAAGGAGTACCTGTGGGTGATCCTGTCATCTCCTTTATCTAGAGATGATTCCCAAGAGCTGAACCGATTGCCAGCTCCTATACTTGCCATGGGCATCAGCTCCACAAAAAACAGAGCCGTATTCAATCCTCCATCTTTCTCGGAAGTCAAAATTCAGTGGACTTTTAATGATGCTAGGATTAAAATAGCTGCACTTGATTCTGATTATAACAGCCTGACTTCTAGATGAAACTTTAATTTGCAATCACTCCACCTCAGATTTGATATTGTGTGTGTGTGTGTTCAAATGGCATCTTCTGTTTGTCACCGTTGGTTTGGCTTAGAAGGGAGAGTTGGAATACCAGCCATGCTCTATGAACTGACTATTTGGAAGCAGCCTTAATGCTAATATAACTTAGGATTCAGTTTTAAAACCTGTGCTATTTCAGAAACAGCCCAGAGGTTGTGTATTTATTGTTAATGTTTGCTTTTTCCCAAAGGGGGAATTCCAAATATCATTACTATGGGATTCGTGTCAAGCCAGACTCTCCTCTTAATCGACTACAAGAGGACATGCAATATATGGCTATGAGACAACAACCCATGCAGCAGAAACAAAGGTAAAGTAAAGTAAACAAAGGTAAAGTGCTTAGCACTTAGTATATTTTAATGATGGTGAGGAGAGGACGTTGCAATATCTGGAATGTATGAAAAATAAACTTGCGCACACGATCAACAATTGTGGACTTGGATAATTGGAATATTTTTGATATGGACAGAGATAATGTTTTGTAGGAATGGCTGGCCTTATTAGGGCTTGAAATAAAAGTAGGGCTGGGCTTGGTTAGTGTGACATAGAAGAGCAGGACTATAGGCTAGGCAAAAAAAACATCCTAGAAGAATGCAGTGGTAAGGCAATTCAGTACTGGTGCTAAACAAAGTAAAATAATAGGAACAGAATCTCTTTGGAGGTCTTCTAGTTCAACTCCTTGTCCAGTGCAAGAATCCTCATATCCTGGGTAAATGGCTGTCCAATCGTTCCTCAAAAACCTACAGTGATGGAGCAATCATCACTTCAGCAGGCATGTTCCACTACTTAATAATGTTCACAGTCAGAAAATTCCTCCTTATTTCAAGTTTGGGGCTCCCTCTGTAAGTCTTCATTGTTTCTCACCTTCCAGTGTGATGGAGAATAAATCCACACCCTCTGCCTTATGATATCCATTCATGTATTAGAAGACTGCTATCATGTCTCCCTTTAGCCTTCTCTTCTTATGGGCTAAACATATCAAGTTTGTTTAACGACTGTTTGTAGGATTTAGCCTCCAAGCCTCTTACCATCTTTGTTACTTTTCTCTGCATTCTTTCCAATTCCTCAGCATTCTTTTTGTACAGGTAATCTTCACTTAACAACCCTAATTAGGACTGGAATTTCCATTGCTAAGTGATGGGTGTTTTGGTAGTCCCAGTTGCGGTCATTAGGCAAGGACCTCATGCTTCTCCTATGCTGCTGCACTTGTCTCTGCTTCAACTCCTCCAACCCACCTATCTCCCTCTGCCCTCTATGCCCTTTTGGCTGCCCTGCACTCTGCTGCCTACCCCCTGATGCCCCCAGCTAACCTTCGCTGTATTCTTCCTCCCGCTGCTGACAAGGTAGCTGCTGGCTCTTCGCACCTCATTTAATGAATGGTTGCTAAGTGAAGACTATCTGTATTGTGGTAACCAGAATTGGACATAGTATTCCAGGTGCAGTCTGACCAGTGCAGTGTAGAGTGGTACTATCACTTCCTCTGATCTTGACACTGTACCTCTGTTGATGCAGCCCAAAACTACATTGGCTCTTTTGGCAGCTGTGGCACACTGCTGGCTCATATTTAATCTGTGGTCTACAAGGGCACTTGGATCCTTCTCACAAGTACTATTACCTTGTACCTCTGCATCTAATTTTTCCTGCCTAAGTGCAGAACCTTACATTTCTCACCATTGAACATTTTGTGTTCAGGTCTGTCAAAACCCTTTTGAGTCTGTCTTCTAGGTGTTAGCAATCCTTTCCCCCCAGCTTTCTGTATTGTTGCCAAGAAAACTACATAGGTATGCCTATGAAGTCACTGAGAGACATGTTTAACGTGAAGGAGATGTTACTGTTTAGAAGTTAAGTGCCATATTTTTAATAATAATAATGATAACAATAATAATCTGCAAGAAGATCACACAGACTGACCACAAACAACAGCATGACAAAGTAGCAACAATGGTGCATTGGATTATCTGCAAG